CCCTGAGGTGGGCACCAACCACTGCCCTCAAGGTACCTGTGGCAAAAGTCAAAGCAGACTATCACTCACCCACACCAGATGGAAAACTCTACAGAATATATATAAACCGTAGGCAGAGAGGGAGAAGAGGACAACAAACGAGGGGCTGTGGCAAACTGTTTCGTCGGAGTTTCACCGATTCATCAGGATATATATATATAAGGGCACGCGCTCTGGCATGCATGGACCTCGGCAGGATGTAAATGCCCGTGAAAAGGCCCAAAATTGAGTTGAAGAAGGTACAACGGCTGCACTTATATCGTTACACAAGTTTACAGACATTGATAGTGTATAGACTACAGACTCTATATGGTTTTTCTTTTCTTTCTCCCCTTTTCTTTTAACTGACCAGTGCGCTCTTTTTTTCCAATTCTCGCTGTTATGACATATATATTCTTATATTTCCATCTGTGCAATCGAAGATCCTGGTGTGTCAGCCGGCATATCAGAGTGTGCCAGAGCCTATTGTTAACCCTATTCTACAGAAAAATAGAACGCGGGGGGTCAGTAATTTGACTCAGTATAGCTGTGGATCTGGCCTAAAAACGCTAGATACGGCTACGAAGGAACCCCCTTGCTTCATTCCCTGGTAAGAGTCTTGAAAAGAGTCCTTTTGCTGGCATGGAAGAGCAACAGCTTTTTGCTGACAGTAGGTGTACAGAGAATTGCCCTGTGAGGGGGGGGGGGGGGGGGGGGGGAAAAAAAGTTGTGCTGTTTTGTTGGGGTTTCTCCATTCATCAGGAGGAGGCTGAACCCTCGACGGTCTGCAGAGTCCCTGAACAGATGATACTGCTGAGTCCCTGTTGCAGGTAGGCAGTAACCAATGTCCCATAACTGATACCAGCAAGCACTGCCCTCTAGGATACCGCTGCTGACAATTAAGCAGAGTCCCTGAACAGATGATACTGCTGAGTGCCTGTTGCAGGTAGGCACTAACCAATGTCCCATTACTGATGCTACCAAGCACTGCCCTCTAGGATACCCCTGCTGACAATTAAAGCAGACTATCACCCACCCACACCAGACGGAAGACTCTACTACAGATTGGATTGTAGGTTCACCGCCCATCACACGTGGTTAACAAGGGGTGTGATTTTCGGCGAATTTCTCACTGAAACGGGTCACGACCCTACTTCAAGAAAGGGGAAAGGGGACAGAGCAGAAAAATCAGGAACTACGGCCCGATCACACTCCTCCCCCCTCCTTTACAAGATGTTGGCTAAAGCTTTGTGTAACGGACTTCGTCCGCGCATACGCCACCTCATTCAATTGAAGCAGACAGGATTTTATGCGGGGCTCTGCGTGTGGAGTAGGGTGGTGACCCCTTTCATGTGGCGTAGGGTGGTGACCCCTTTCACCAGAACATTCAGGACAACATCGTGTTAGTCATATTGGCTGTTTTTTTTTTTTTGGTTCTCTTTTCGTCAAAAGCCAGCAGAGGCCCCACGAAATGAAGAAAAGCCTTCCACAGCCCAAAAACACACTTGACACACACACGCCACTGGCGCTAGAGGCATATATATTTTACTATTTTTTTAAATATATATATCTATTTGACGATATATATATAATATCTATAATGTATATTATATATAATATCTGAAATATCTGTAATGTATATAGTTATGTAATATAATATCTATAATGTATATTATATATATCTGAAATATCTGTAATGTATATAGTTATGTAATATAATATCTGTAACGTATATGGTTATGTAATATAAAATAATGTATATATTGTCCATAATATATAATGGATACCTGAACTGCCATTTCGTCAAAATGGACAATTTATGATTTTAATGATTTTATGATTTTTTATTTTTTGAACGAAATTGAAACTGAGTTTTTTAACTTTTTTGGCCGAAAACGGAGTGTAAATTCGCTGCTCTTGAGGGTCCGGCATTTCTAAGACGCTGGACCCCCTGTATGTATCTGGACCTAGGTGGAGACCAGATACATCCAGGCGGTCCCCCCTGTATGTATCTGGTCTCACGCGCAGTCGTGATACATCCAGGACGTCCAGCGTTTTAAAAGCGCCGAACCCTCAGGAGCAGCAAAATTTAGACGAGTTTTTGGCCAAAAAAAAGGTTGAAAGAAGTTTCAATTTCGTTCAAAAAACAAAAAATGTCCATTTTGACGAAATGGTAGTTCCTGTGTCTTTGCCATGAAAATGTGATGTCCTTTTTTTCCTTCTTCTTCTTGGTGATGTCCTATACCCCTAGACGAAAGGGATCTCAGAATGTGCTTCCAAGTTCCAGCTCTATTGGATAGAGCACCAAACCAACTACAGATTTGGAGGTTGATGGTTCCACGTATTTCCAAAGCATGGGCCTATAACTCAGTTGGCTACAGTATACGCCTGATAAGTGTACACCCAGCGTAGGTGGAGAGAGTTGAAGTCAGCTTGCTTAGGTTCACTCTGCTGCCGAGCCATGGTCGCCGCAAGAGCGGTTTTTCCGCTGGCCTCTCGCTCGCGGCGAGCGCTCGCACCACAGAATAAACTGGATTAGTGGATCAATCTGGTGTCCCACCTACACCTCACATTCCTAAACTCCCCATTCAACTGGATCTCGAAGATGCAGTCGAAGGAATTTCAATTCCTGGGACTGTTTAAATCCAGTGATCTCCTTTCATGATGATAGCCTGTGTGGTCCCCACCGACTCCCCAGAATGAATCTGTCGTATGAGACAATTTAATTGAATTATGCAAAAGAAAAGGGCAAAGTTTGAAAAACACCTCAATATCAAATCAATTAGATAAGGCCAGGGTCCTCACAATTCAACCCAGAAAGCTTTGGAGTCATTTACTTGGCTTCGGTTCGAAGTCCGAACGCCGATCTCCCAGGCCTCCACCAAGAGCCCCCCAAAAGACAAATCTTAGGCCTCCCCTAAGACCCCCTTGGGCCCAAGTCTCAACTCACACCCACTACTGCAGTCAAACTGCCAGCAGTTGGATTGTAGCACCACCAGTTCTTGGCTCATACATCGGCTGCGGGCCGTTGCGGTATACGCCTTGTCAACCGGGTCTTGGGCCCACCGGACCACGATGGCTGGCAGCGCCTTGGAAGCTTGGTGCAGAGAGAGGGTGTCTCAAGCATTGGACGAAAGTGCCTTGGAAGTACTGGTGCCCTGTGCGCCAAGTTTTGTCGAGCCGCCGCCGCGTCGTTTCATTTTTCTTTTGGCTGGCGCCTCCAGCCATTGTGGTCCAGTAGACCGAAGCCCAGCAGTCATGATGCGTTAACGGGAAACACTTTGCTGATGTAAGGGCCAAGTACTGGTGGTTTAAGGGTCCGCACAGGACAATTGTTACTACAGGATCTCGGAATTCTCCTTGGTATGGTACCACCGTGGAGTTATTTCCCCTGTCCCACGATCTGAATTTAATTGAATTGTCTCCTGAAGGTTTAGGTCCTTTGTGTGAGTACCATCTCAGACAATCTAGTGCCGCATGGATTATCAAGTCTCGGGCTCGCTCGAGCACAAATTCAGTCGTGGCTTACTGTCCGTGTATACGCCCGCCACCTGCTTGAGACGTGGACAGTAACGTATGCCCGGAGTGGGACGGGCTTCATGTATCAAGTCCATT